TTCGTCTTAAAGATTTCAACGTGAACAAAAAAGGAAAAAATCCTAGAAATTTTTCTCGGAGAACAAATAATCTACGAGATGTGCAGTTAAACTTATGTGCGCGAGCGACACAGCTGCCTTATATAATACATTTCACGCAAAGTTCAATGTCACTTGATACGTATCAATAGATTCACAGATACGCATAAAGCATACGCAAGTATTGCGCAACCGGTTACGGGTATGTAAAATTAGTTGCAAAAACCGTGAAATCTCTATCGTGCCACGATATACCTTAGTAATGTAGCAATTTAGTGAACCACCGTATAATTCTGATCGTTTCTTGATAAATTTATTTTTAGCTTGTTTACGAGTCTTCTGAAACGTGTATATCATGGAATACGTAAAACATACAATTTCGATGTACGGAAAATTATTGCATACTAATTACATCAACAAAGTATTATTGATCGTCATAAACTCGTCGATAATAGATCTCTGGAAAATGTTCTGCAGTATTTTAATATTATTCAAAGAAATAATGATATAACATAATGACAATACGGCTGGACATAAAATTATGACTCAATTATTAAAGTGCATCCGGGAGTTAGACTATTCGAGTAATTGCTTGCGCGACGATAAGACGTTACGCCTGATAATCGATGTAGTGCAAATCGATATTTCGTGCTGCATTATAGCGTTCGGTTAACGATACTAGACGATTTTCAGAACAAAATTCTTTTTTAATTTTGCGAGTTTATAAGTTTTTCAAAATATTGCTTGCAAAATAGGGCGAACTATGTGTATTCTGATAGAAATACTAGTGCACAGGTAGAGAACGAGCTTGAATGTTGGTAGCGTGTCACGTTTCGCACATGTGCTCCTGGTATACATTGCGAGATGACGTCATACTAAGCGACTGACAGTAGCGTCTTCGTAGCTGCTAGATGCCCTCCCCCATTGTACAATAACCGGAGCAATCGCTCAGTTAATGAAAAGAAATTTCATGTTTGATGTTTTATCCTCTCGATATAAAAATAAAGATAAAACTATCGATAAGATTTAATGTAGCGTGACATAAATCACAGGCTATAATTATACACCTGTTTTGCCATATAGAATTGTTTGCTTTAGAGAAAATTCAGAAAAATTGCACGTGAATAATTTAGAAATTACTATGTAAAATTATATATTGAATTACCAATACCCTGTGTATTGAATTTGACGATTTAGTGTTCCAGAATAATTAATTAAAATTTGTCTCTTTCTTCCGAAAACCGTAGAATATGAGACCCTCAAGCTTGTTTACTCGCACACCCACTTTCTCATTCATCTTCTCACTCATTTTTTCTTTTTTCCTTGCTTAAACCAAATTAGTCTAATTTTGCCTATTCGCAATTCCGTTTCGACTCGACGGTGATTCAACTCGTGTGCAACTCAGTAACCCAAATTCCTTCGTATCTGGAATTCCTCCTAGGACCTCCGAGCACACCCTTGCACAGCACTGCTTCAACACTGTCACGCACTTCTACGCACGCACACGTACACGTTTCAACGACGGGACGCGTCGTTGGCGCCCGACTTCGCTCCGGCGCGGCTCCTGTCACGCGATCGCTCGATACTGCTCGATCACGAAACTCGCGCATGTCCGTACAGCGACACGTGCACGACACTATTTACCTCTGATAGTCTTCTCACTGGCCAGATTGACGATGACATTGCCGGTAACAACTTCTCCGGGCGCGTAAGTGGCACCAGGTCGGTCGAACTCGACGCGAAATGTCCTCAGCGATGGCATCCTTCTTGAGGACTGCGTCGAGATGTCGCTTATCGATCGAGATGAGGTAGCATCAATCCTGGGCAGAAGACGTGGAAGCATTCCGTGACTAACGGAACGTCTCGACTCGGCGTCGGTACCGCGTGTTCTGACCGGTTGCGTTAGCAGACCGACGCCGGACGTTGAGCATTGAAACGTGGGCGGACTCATATTGGCACCCCACCATAAACCTCATTAAAGCATGCTTTTTCTGTGACGGCATGATAGTAGTTGTAATCTTTTCCACTCAGAAAATCCTTGTTATTTATTTCCGGGCAATTGCAACGTTCGCGTAGAATGTCATTGTGTGTAATTAATGAAAAAATTCGATTTGATTTTGGAGTCAAATTCCAAAATCAATGTTGCATACCATGAGAACAAATTATTTATTAAAATTATTTCAAGTCAAGTAATCGTCATTACTGAGAAAAGGATACTTGGAAATTTACTTGCGGGACATAAGATCTTTTTATGTGAAATAAAGTTTATTTGCATAAATAAATTTTATGTCCCATACAGATAGATTTTCAAATGCTTTTTTCAGTGTATCTCTGATTCTTCGTTAGAGTTCTGGTTTTATGTGTATATTTTTATTGCAGAAAGTCATCTCGAAGAATTATTGACAGCGAATTTTTTAATTTATCGAATGTTAGTAAAGTAGATTTTTCGAGCAATGTATGTATATATTATGTTCTGATACGGATATCGGGAATCACTTGAAAAATTTGAAGGAATACTCGACGTATAACATAAAATATCCCATAGAAGTGTGTATAGTTTGTACGATTTTTTTTTTTCAGGAGAGAGAAATTTAGATATAACTGCATAAAAGATAAAGAGAAGTGAGGCATATCATGTTCTGACGCTTGACGTTGCTCTTGACGAGATCTTGATAAACGAAAGGCTGTTGATTTAGAATATAATTTCGCACATTTTTAATACGGACGTATATATCTCAATTCTTGTTCGATTCCAGCGCGGAGATATAGAGGGGAAATATCTGAGTCATTCAAAAGCAACCCATTCGGTACCTATTCTTTAGTTTCAATGAAATGTCAAAAAACGTGAGTCACAATTTAGTATATAACAGACGTCACGTATGACGTCTGTTATTACGAGATATAAATATGATTCTTTGAAACGTTGTTGTACTTCGAAGAAACAATTTGTTAAGTACAAAATATGTACTGAATGACGTCATACGCAAGTACGTTATTACATAGTACATCGTGATGAGGTAAATATTATTAATTTACTAATATTATGAGGCAAATATTATTAATCGGCCAAAATCGTGGAAGACAAATATTATTAATAGGTCGAAATCGTCGATTAATATTTGACTTTATTTAAAAGTTAATAAAAAAAGCTTTCCTATCTATAGTAAAAATAGACACAACGTATATAAATAGAAGTAAAGTGATTAGATGGGGTTCGATATGGAGAGAGAGAAACAATTTATGTTATTCCCATTGGATATGCTGCGAGCGAAATGTCCTATGTCAAACCGTTGGAAATGCATTACTTGCGCAAGTGAAATATTTTCGTTAAACGTACTAATGATGAATCGATGTTACTTGGAAACGTGTCGCGTGTCACGCGATTTTACGCGGCTTTATCAAGTCGACAAATAAACGGCAAAAACGTCACTCAATCGTGTTAAACGATTACACTGAAATAGTTGAGAAAATTAATGCGATAAATTATCGACTTTTTAATTTGGATCACCGATTAAATTAATCGATGATAAACCAACAGAATTGTCAACAGTAATTTCCTATTGTGCAATTTCTCATCCATTAAAAACGGAAAAATTAATTTTTCTCTATATTAGCAAAAAAGAGTAGGCACTACTTGAATTATAGCAATTTGAAATAGCTGTAAAGAGAATAAAAGAATTTTCTTTTCTGTTTTAATACAAATGTATGCTTTACGTGTACTAAATGTGCACTTTATTGTGTATGCTTTACTTTGGTAATTCTGACGACCGAGTTTATCATCGATTAGATTACTCAGATTCTCAGAATTTGGTGAAAGATATAACGTCTACAAATCAAATAATTCCAAATCGTGTTGCTTACATGGTAATCTTTCGCATTGCTGAATGCTGCGATACTGAAGTCGCGCTGTACGCTTTCGCTATCTAGCGGATTCCAATGTTACTAGCTTCTCATGATACGATATGAGACGATATCGTCTCTCGGACGATATGAGAAACATTATGATTTGAAAGCATTATAGGAATGCTGAAAACTTTATCGACTAAATGATGACATTTTTCTGCAAAGTTTACGTCGTATTGGTTATACAGAATTGCAAATGCTTTTATGCAATAAAAACATGTGCAAAAATAAATAAAAGCATTACTCAACAATGTGATGAGAACAAAAAAAAATTTTTAAGTGTAAAATTTTGAACTCTTTCAGTAAGTATAACATTTGTTTAATCTAAAAGTTTCGCAGCTTGTATTGAAAGTTTGGATGCTTCAAACAGAAAAAATTTGAAGAACATTGCTGTATCTTCGGGTCTAAATTCAAAAGTTTAACAATATTGGAAAAATTTGCAAAGAGACTTGTACATATGTGCGTGATTAGGTGTGAACGGTGTGAATGATGTGTACCTTTTCATGATATTTTTACTGTATATGTCCGCTATCTAGTAGTCTTTGGTGTCACTAGCTTTACATTCACTCCGATGATATCTGACGCGAAAAAATCAATACGTTATGAACAAAGTACATAATAATTTTTTCAATTTATTTTCTTTCAAGCGGATTTACTTGTTTGAGACAAATAAGTTATAGAAATTCCCTTTGCGACAGATTGATAAAAACGTAAACTAGTAACATCGAAATTTATCTTTAAATACTGTTCAAGTCAGTTCGTCAGTTAACACATTCTAAAGAAATAATATTTCTTAATTTATTTTTATTTATTATTAAATTTATTTATTATTAAATTTTATTAAATTATTATTTTATTAAATTATTATTTTATTAATTTATTATTAAATTTATTATTATTATTAAATTTTTTCTTTTGTATTTTGTGCAAATATTCCATTTTAAATAAATGACAAAATAAAATTTAGAAACTTATTTTATATTGATTTTATTGATTTTTCTCACTTCTCCTTTTGTAACTTCTCTAAAAGCGTAATGTATGATGGTTTTAATAAAATTTAATATTTTTACTTTCCCCTTATTATACAGATATTTAACATTCACCAAATTAATAAACCGAATTTACAACATTTGTAGGATCTCGACTTAATTCTTGGTAAAAATTTACGTGTTTACGGGCAGTGATGTTAATAGGTGAATTTGAAAGTCAATCTTAGAGACTGACGAGATGGCCAAATCAGATTTCTGTGCGGCAAGAGTCTACGTCTGCTTCACTAGAGTGCTTTACTAATGATTAAAGGCAGAGTTATGCTCGGTAAATGGGTTTGAACTGACATTAGAGGCAAATATTAGGTTCAGGAACATGTAGCTGTATGTACTAAACGTCTACCTGTTGGACTTTGTTGGATCGGAGCTCGACCACAAGCCCGCGATGTCTCCGTGGGCTCCCTTGGCGCAAGTATAAACGCAATCTTGTTCGATAGATTGATCTGCTGCTATCGACAGGGGATGTTTCAAAGGCTAGGAAAAGGGTTGAAGTTAGTTACTAACTCGAAGACCGGTGCGGTTTATTAGAGATCTGATGCCATTATTAGACTTTCTATTTCGACAAGCACAGGCGAGTGATTTATTAGTTGTATGCGTAAGTTGTGTACAACTTCTTGCTTTCTTTAAATTCCGAAAGGTACACTGAGAGAAATTATCCGATAAAAAAAATTAACAAACGGATATTTCTGATCAAAATATCAATGAATTTGTATCCGCGATTAGGATATCTAATTAAATTTAACTGAATATTTCCGATCATAATAGTATTTTATCAGATAAACCGATACAAAAATTATGAATTGATATTTCTCATTGAATGTTTCCTGATTGGATATAAAAATTTAACAGAAATATTTTGACTATATAAAAATATCTGTTTGTTAATTTCTTATTAAATAATTTCTTTCAGTGTATGCTTCTATGCTATTAAGTAATTCGTAGAGATATCGGATATTTATAATTCGTCCCAGGCGGTTATTAACTCGACAGCTTCGTAATGACTAATTTATGTTATGATTATTTAATGTATTAGCTTCTAACATTTGAATCTCTAAAAGTTATTATAGAGCAATGAAACGATTGCGAAGGATTTTCATAATTGAAGTTCTCAACTATAATTTTAACACAAGAAAAGTATCATTATACATATAATTAATAACATTTTGTTCAATTTATTATAACATAACGTTTTCATTTCTGAGATCTGTGGAGATTATTAATGTTACGTGTCGCGGGCGAATTGAGGCTGCCGAAAGAATACGGGAGAACACAACGCGAGCACCCGAGCCTAGGCTACCGCGAGAAGGGTGGGTTTGTGGCGGACGGGAGGCGGATGCGAGGGTAGCTTGTACACCGCGACCCCTCAGTAGCGTGCCGGCCATCGCTGAGGTGGTTTCTCGAGTATCGACGCCTCGCGCTCTCCTCACGACGCAAAAATTCGGCTGGGCCCAACGAGGGTGCTCTCTCCGGCTAAAGGTTGCTCTCACACGACCGGTGCGAGGCCTCGTGTTTCGCCAGCTGCAGCCGTTACAGGGAGATCGACGGCGCCGTACGACGACTTGGCGCAGCTAGACAACGTGACGACGTTCTTCGCGACGACGATCAACAGGTTAATCCCTAGCTGGCTAGCTGGAGTATAGTTCCGACCAGTAATCTCTCGCGTACGTCCTATCTGTTTACTCGCAATCTTGTCTACACACCTGTCGCACCATCATTTATCGTCACCTCCGATATCGTAAGGCCGGTAGGCTCAGCGTAAAATATCGTTTGTATGCTGCTGTGTTGCACTGTGCGTAAAATGGCTGTTTCGATAATTTAGTGATACTTTTTTTTTCACGCAACATTCTTCACGGTGATAATATTGTACCTTGTGATGATCTTCTTCTGCGTTTTAGCGAACGGTCAGCGGAAATTCGATGAAAATAGAAAATGTATTTATAAAAACGCTTGCCTTCAGCAAATCTTGAGTTTTTTTTCTCGGATGGGCGTTTCTCAGAAGCAAGCTTACCGCTTTACCGCGCGAGGTCACGTACTCGAGAAGCTTGTTTTGGGTCGAATAGCTGTGTTGGTGAGGTAATAATTCAAAGTGCTTCGAGCTTTTTCAATTTTATTCGGATCGATAGACGCGTTTCGCAAGCACCCGATCGTGAACTTGACATAGGTGCGTTTTAACCCTGCGGTTATAGGTCACGCGTTATAACACGATGGAATCGTATGTATTCTAGTTATCATCAAATAATGGAGATCGAGATGGATTGGGAATGAATTAGCGGAGACCGGGTCTAGATGGCTCCAGGGACATATTGCTTATGTGCTTTTTTTAGTTTTTATTTTGAGAGAAGAATATATGGATACAAAATCGCGAAATGTTCCTTTTAGAACATAAATGTTCTTTTCCCTGAGTTTCATTAAAATCTGGAATAATATTACAGTTAAAAAAATAGAACAAAAAATTGTTTTAGTAATAGCAAAATAAATTTTCGAGCATCTCGAAATTTTGTATCGATATTCGTTAGTGAATAAAGTTAAGCGATGTTATTAACTAGAATGAAATTGTTTATAAATGTATAATATACTATGCTTTGGATAATAAAGATAATTTTCATTTATAAAATGATTAAAATAGAGCAAATGGGCGGACGAGATAAAGTTGATCCATAAATAAAGGTCGGCAGGAGGGCTGTAAAGACTTTTTGCGGAGATCCTGGAACTATTAATCAGGATACATATTTTATACGTCACTGGGCAACTGAACCCAAACAAAATGGCCACGTTGTTGCATGTTTGTATTTTAGTTATTACAAAACAAAATATACGGTTAACAAAATCATTGGGAGCATTAACATTTAGAAGAAGGTTATCTTTGTTACGTTTGTACAGTCATCACAATCATAACAATTAGTTGTTTGAGAAATTATAATTTTAAAATTCTGAAACATAGGACATTCAACCCCGGTTTCTCTTAATTAAAGATTGATCGAGCCACAAAATTTTCTGTTCAGTTAATCTTTAATAAAGAAAAGCCGGGGCTTTAAGAGAACGTAAAACGATCACAGGAATAAAACTCGGATATCTCTCTTTACGGATCTGTCTGAGATAAGTTTGCAAATACGCGCAAGTTTTCCCGGACAAATTTTCCGTTCTCTCTTGATTTTTGACGTACACGACGAGACGTTCGTATCATAAGTATTATCGTGGAATTTGGTCCATAAAACATGTAGGAACATATTAATTGTAGTAATGTAGTAATGTGTTACAACTCAATTACACACCATTCAACTGAAATTTCACGCAGACATAACTGCGTTGTCGCGGTCGACGGGCGAGAGAAACCGCAGTATCCGGAGCCACAGCCACCCCGAGTCAAGCGCACTCGTGCCGCAACATCTCGCGACCTCGTAGATCCTCGTGGAGGTGAAATCGAAGCCGACGGCGGATCCGTTGAAATGAGAACGGCCACAGCTGCCGTTGTTGGTTACAGGGCGATTTACGGAAGCCCCTGAAGATCGTTTCTGTGACACGACAATGACAAAGCCGCAGGGCAACCCTCGATAAACCTGAGCCGGGATATCGTGCACGGGAGATAACGCGATCCGGTAGAAAGGCAAATTCATCAGCGAGGTCCGGCTTCGGAGATGGCGACCAACAGTCCCGGACAATCGATTCATCTCAAGTCCCCGAGGAGTCCGAGGCAGCTGCCGGTTTTACCTCGCCTCCAGCAAATGCCGATCGCCGAGCAGAGGGGCTCGACCCGCGGCCAGTCGCTGACCAAGTCGCCGGGCACCCCGCTGGTGTTCGAATTTCCGCCAGAGTATTACCCGGAGACACCCAATACGACCTTCGACTTCGACGAGTTTGGGCGCGCCGGCGAGCTCGAGCAGCAGCAGCAGCAGCAACGCGGGCCCAGGAGTCCCAGCTACTACGCTCGCACGAGCCCGCGCAGTCCCAAGACGCCCAACAACAGCGAGATCCTGCACTCACCCGGACGCAAGTCGCCCATCTTCCAGTTCTGCGAGCCGCGCAAGAATCTCAAGCAGACCGCGAGCTACCCGGCGTCGGCGACCTCGCCGATGGTCGATCGCAGTAGGTCGGTCAACTCGTCTGTTTACGGCCAGAGGAGCCCGAAGCCCTTTGACCGACGCAGGAACTCGTGTTTTGGCCTGACTAGTTTGAAGAGTCCCATGTCGCCGACAATAGTGACGCCGGGTTCGCACGACGCGACCAGTCCGAAACTGGATCTCAATATGGAGCTAGATCAGAAGAGTGTTTTTAAGGAGATCAGCGGATACAAGGGCAACTTTAGCGCTAGCAAGACCTCTTCTTTGGAAAGCTCCTTCGGTGTGCAGGAGAAGATCGTCGAGAGAGCCGGCGATCGCTCGAAGAACGTGAAGATAGGCGGATACTTCAACAAGAGCCAAGGGTGCCTGGACCAGGCCGGTCGAGGTTATCGTAAGGGCTCGAATGGATACTCAAGATATAGAAGGGGTGACAAGAACATGTCCAGGCGATCGACCAGTGATTTGACGGATATGGGTGACGCTGACACCGAGATTACTCTGCTTTCTAGCCCCAGGAGAAGAGGTTCTATGAAGGGCGGTCTTGGTGAGTAGTCACTCTTCCCTTTTTCTCTCCGTCTATACAATTTCATCTCTTCGCCCATTTTCACTCCTCCTTCGCCTGTTCTCCTCTGCTCCCTCATACCTGGAATGTGGCTTCAACGGCAGCGCGATTGGGCAATAAACGACGGCCGATTTCGAGAGGCACAAAATGTTTGCTCTCCTGACGAGGGTTAGCACGGCGCTTGGAAGAACTATACTTCGACGCTGTGGCGTAGTCTGTATTAAACATATTATATATTAAATATGTGGCGGGTTGTGTAAAAAGTTGTTTCGGATTTGTCAGGTAAAGTGGAAAGTGTGTTTGTATTTTTATATTCGTTACTTATGAAACAACGTATGTATACTTCTGATCTATGACATATTGCCATTCTTCGTAAATGTTGCTTTATAAAATTATAACAATACAAATATACAATCGCTTTATTTCACTTGAAAAATTCGCAGTTACTTATTACACAACTCAATATAGGGAAACGTGGTCATTTAACAATTTAACAATTTACGATTTAACATCTGTATTCTTCATATCCCGTTGCTTATTAACAATTGTCATCTATCTACCTTACTGACTTTATTTAATTAATTTACAATCAACAAGAAAAAAATATTAGTTAGACTTAATTAAATTAATTGAATTACGAGTTGCCTTCAACCATTGTGCTTTCGATAAAAACATTTTTTTGCTATTAATTGTATCCTTTCCGCAACTCACACGTATTATATCTAATGTCGTGGCATATAGCGCGGTAATATCTCTGATAAATCTAATTTCAATATTAATGGAAAATGCAAATTATCCCCCGATTTAATATGGAGAGCAAACATAAAGGATATATTTTTCCGCGAGGCGTGACGATCGAGCCTTTGTTACAATGGCTGCGTCGATTGCGATGGCAACGAGAATTACATACGGCACGTGAATAACCCAGCCACGTGTACACGCGCCGTTGATAATTGGCTTCTGTGGAAGCGAAATTTGGGATTTCAGCGTGATGAAACTCGTGATGAAACTCCCTTGATGAAAGTCCACAACGTAGGTTAATATTGTTGTACTGCAAGCTTTGCAATTTACGCTTTAGTATATCCTCGCACAACGGACGCACGCATACATATACATGAGGTCGCGCTTGATAATCGCTTTTCGTGAAGCCGCGGTGCGATCGACGTCGCGCGAAAGCGGCGGATCAAATTGGTCTATCCTTTTTTAGTTTCAGCCTCCTTTTCCTTCCTTTTGACTGCTCTTTCACTTTTATTTTCTTTTTCCTCCTCGCTAAAGTCTCCAGATCCCCTCTATCGCATTTTTATTCACTTTTTCTGTCTCTCACTCTTCGATACTGTAAGCTCTCGACTGTAGCGAGACGAAAGGGTATACCCTCGGGACTTAATTCTCTGCTTCTTTTCAATCATTGGCCATTCGACTTTCATTAAAACGGCGAGTATATACAGTCGCGCGAGATCTCGCAAATGCGACGTGCGGATTTGCGAATTGTCACGCATGTACGTGTAGTCACGTGGATATTATTTAAAATCGATCGATCAGAGCTTCCTGTGCAGCGTTTGTTCCATGTAGGTGCGACATGAGGGAAATTAAATCTGGATTAGATCAATCGGGGAGATGACGACGCCTCGATAAAATATTTCGCGCAGACAGACGTTGCTGCGAGATCCATTCGCGAGCGACATGTATTTCTCGCGAATACCATTTTAACCGCGGGAACGCTAATAAAAGAACTACACCATCAACACCAGGGGAGCACTGTTGGGAAACATTAATCCTGAAATCCGCCCGTTATGTCAGTCCGCAAAAGAGACTCCGCTCTCATATTCGCCGTCATTGGGAATTTATTCGCGGGAGATTCGCGGTTCGTGAAAATTTAATGCGCGCAGAGCCAATCGATCAGCGTTTCCTCAAACGCTGTGCGCTACTGATGATACGTCTGCGTGTCTGTAACTGTATATACACGGAGATGGTATGGCGCACATCGCGATGCGGTTTACCCTATGACGATCCCTTTGAACGTTCTATCCATCCTGCTATGCGAATTCGCGAGGCAGGGGTTTTCACGAGGCCCTCACATGCGCGACTGTGTGTATGTGTTACAGCCTATTTGGCGTCGAGACGCGGCTCCCGCGACAGTCAGTGCTCCAACATGTCCAACGTCAGCAACGAGGACGTAGGCCCGTTGAATTTCAGCGCACATCCGCGCGGACGGCAACGGAGGACCTCGAATTTCCTCGAGCTGCCAGGTGAGTAATTCTGCTGGTTGCATTCACGTATCTATCAAGTCGAGCCGAAGTCTCTTCTCGGCGACGAAAACTCGCGAATCGAAATAACACGCATGACGAATGATAAATGGGAAAAGAGGAGATCCAAATGTTAAATTTTCACGATGTCTGTATATGATTCAAGAATTACAGGCCGACATCAATTTTCACTGTTGTGGATAATCCTGAAGATTTTTGCTGTGTTGAAACCAAATATGCTATTAAAAATACTCCATCATGCACGTCAGGTTTCCAAGATATCCTAATCTAAAGGTACCAAGAGATGCCATTTTTAATTACTTTCAGATTAAAATAAATCTGAAACGAAAAGGCCAATTTAACCATTGGATTTTTCGATTTTTGTATATGATCGGGAAACATTCGATAAGAAATATCGGTTCGTAATTGTTTGGTTTATCTGATGAAATGCCATTATGATCGGAAGTATTTGATAAAATTTAATCGGATATCCTGATTGGATATAAAAATTGATTGGAATTTGATCGGAAATATTCGTTTGTTAATTTTTTATTGGATGATTTTTCCCATGTACGAATTCGGTATGAAAAAATATATCAAAACCACTTTTTACACTCAATAAGTATAACAAATACTTCATTTTTTCTCAATTGTTTTTATATCTGACTTATATCTGAATAGTAACTTTGTATACGTGATTCGATACTTAAAACTTCAATAAATAAATAGATATAATTTTAGATGTTTTATTTTTTATATAAATAAACATTTTAAATATTTCGAAAATTATGACATTTTTACCAGCGTGTGTTAAAGGATACAAAATTTTAGCATAGGTATATGAAGTATTTGTTTTCTAATTTATTGAATGTAATAATTGACTTTAATAGATTTTTTCATGCTAAGCTCAAATCTATTGGCTAAATTCGCCTATCACTTCTCGTTTCAGACTTACTTTAACTTAAAAATGACAAAAACTAGTCTTTTTGATACTTTTAGGTTAGAATATCTCGTAAACCTGACGTAATAGAGCAGTTTGAACAACAGAATTTGATTTTAGAATGTCAAAAACTTTCAGGATCACCTGTACAGGTCTGAAGGTCAGAGCAAAAGTGAAAATTTGTCTGTGTTATTGACGTGCTATTAACAGTATATTACGCTGCGAAGTAGAGGAGTTGTAACACTCTTATGCCCCTGATTTGACGTTTTGTTTTTATTTATCAACGTTTCGATGTTGGTACCCGCTCGCAACTCGAATCTTTGATTACGACGTTAGCGATGCGAGATTACAATTCTGAACGTTAAGCAAAATGATTTGACCCACGGCCTGTAGTATAACTATAGTTCTGCGTGTAACTTGATGTGATATTGAGATTACAAGCGAAGCTGAGGGAACGAGTAACGAAATATTTTCGTTACTCGTTCTAATTACTTTTCTTACACGTGGTGAATTATTATGTAAAATGTTGCATAAATGGCGAAGAATCCACGGGAAGAACTTTCTTGTTGTTCCACTTAATTAACGTTACTTTCGCATTCTTCCTCGATAATATCGCGTTCCCGTGCAACATTTAAGATACTTCGTAGCCTCTGACTAGCGAGAAGAAAACTTTCAGTGCGATTCTTTATGAGTATTCTCTTACACTATACTTTACAGAAAATTACACATTTGTAATACTTTGTTATATACCATTCCTTACAATTTCCTTTCCTACAGAGAAGTTGTTTTCGCGATACCTCTGACGTGATTGCCGGATTATAAACGCAGCTTTTCGCAGACCTTAAACTCGTGTATACGTCCGTTTTTCGGAGGCGGCAATTTCACCTGGCAGACTTTTTCCGTGTATTTGCGCCGTACCTTATCGAAAGCGCTGACGTAGGCAGTCGCGTTTGGCCTGGTTGAAACTTTGAATGCATAGTTCGCTCGGGCTCGGAGTAGGGTCGGCGACAGTGAGATAAACGCGCCCTGCAGGTTGTTGTATCGGGTGGTAGTTACAAATGCAAAGTTTGTCTTATGACACACATACACATACACACATATAAAAACAGAAATATTCGCACCTTTCTCGACAAACTACATGGCAAAATTCAAGCGCGAACTCAACCCGGTAGATCAACGAAAACCCAGACTAAAGTAGATTTTTGATTTGCAATTTTCGAAATATCGTGAACAAACACGGAAAAATGTTAATTACATTATTGTAATTTATTATACACGGCGGATTAAGATTAATTAAGTTCGGAGTAATTTGAGAACGCGCACGGTTTCTGTGACTTGGGGCTTTTTAATATCCGTAGCGGGATAGAATTGACTTCGCTCGATGCAAAGCGGACAATAGCTCTCATATTTGAAATCCAAATACGTACAGTGATCTGCAGCATCAATCATGGTCTGATGTTTGTTTGGCGTGTCGACTAGTGGCATTGCTGTTGGCGTGTTTACTGACAATCGCGATGTATAAATAGCCTCAAACGTTCGCAGAGTGTGTGTAACTAATGAAATTATAGTAATATATCTCTTAATACGCACGAGATAAATTAAGTTATAGTAGTAATACAGCTAATCCTCAGATACACGAGATCTGGATGACTCTCTAGAAGTATGTAGCTCATATACTTCTTTTAGCATTTATTTGGGAGGAACTATGGATCGCGAATGGTCCTTTTAGGGCATGAATACTTTTCCCTGAGTTTCAATAATATTAGAATAATATTATCATTAAAAAGTTAAAGATAAAACTTTAGCCCTTTTTAACAATTTTGTGTTAACGTTTTCCATTGTGAGTGAATAAAGTTAAGTGACGTGTAGAATGAACTACCTAGAATGAAGTTAAGTGACATATAGAACTATATATATGACTACCTAGAATGAAGTTTCTTGTAAGTGTATGATATTACTGCTTCAGATAATAAAAGTAATTTTCGTTCATAAAATGATTGAAATCGAGCGGACGAGATAAAGTTAGCCTATAATTAAGAGCCGGTAAGAGGACTGTGCTGAACTCTTGTGGAGATCTTGAAACTACTAGGATACATATTTAACTAGGATACATATTTTATATAGCCTTCTTATTCTATGTAACTGTGTAACCAATGCTAGGACAAGATGGCTACATTGCCACATGTTTGTGTATTTCGGTTATTACAAATTAAAATATATTGTTAACAGGATCGTGGCGCGGATTAACATATAGAAGAAGGTTGTCTCTATCATGTCTGTTTATCATGTGACAGTCAGTCACAACACGTTGTTTGAGAAGTTGTAACTTGAAAATTCTGAGATATGAAGCACCCTCTCTCTCTCTTTCTCTCTCTCTCCTATCTCTCTCCCCTCTCTCTCTCTCTCTCTCTCTCTCTCTCTCTCTCTCTCTCTCTCTCGCGCTGGTCTCCTTTATATTTTTATATCCCATTTTCGTTTTTTCCCTTAGAAATACTTCGTCTCAGTAACACATTTTGTTCGATTTCGCTCGTTTGCTCGTCTATAACAATTAACGATTAATTACACATCGTTATGGGCTTCTGATAAGTTATACACATCGCACGCTGTTTGCTGGAAACATAATGCTTCTGTCTGTTTGTGTAATCCGATGTATCGATTAGAGTTCATCACTTATTTTCCAACGACCGCCGACCAGAATTGGTCGTCGATATTTCGCAGCAAACACACTACTGAATATTATTATTTGCATTCCGTAAAATTCTGTTGCGCGCATTTATCGGACTTCGCAGAATAAGTTAATATAACTCATCGTCGAATTTTATATATCGCGTCACTCTGCGACTTTGAAATTTTTGTCTCAGCAATAAAACGTAACGCGTGCTCCTGCACTCTTTCACCTCCCGTTCGCTTATCGCGCACTCGTGCTGTGTGAGTTCAAGGGGGAGAAACGCAGAGAGAAGGAGAGCTATTCTTGGCACAATATACTGTTTATTTCTCTGATCATATTACATTCAGAATTGTAGCAGAACGCGGCGATATAGCGTGACGGCGATATACACTGACGTTAATGTGATATTTGTTCTCGTTTGCGCGACCCGTCATTATATTATTGCCTCGCGCTGATACGTCATGCAATTTTAAAGCGACCTTAATAATCGCCATTTTCACAATAATCTCTTCCCAACTGTGATGAGTCTGGTAAAAGGTTACGGCATGGTACCTTATTAAATGTCGCTATCGAATGTAAACGTAACGCGCGTGTCGAGCTCCTTGTTCGACAGCAGCTAAGCGAAATAGTCGGACGTTAATAAACTCACACTCACGCGGGAGTTTCAGCGTGCGACCTGTGGTAGACCGTGACGACGACGTGTTTGTCGCACACGTCAAATTTATAGACGTAACGAGTTGATTCAAAGGTGTTAAGGGCGTCCGTCGTAACTATCGCGGTAATTGGTCTCTAAAGATGGCCTACTTTCGAATCACCTCGACCCTCGAGGAGATTTCATTCACGCGAAATTCCATCGCGGACTTTTTCTCTCTCTCGCAACGGCAGAGCGACGAAACACCCGTGCGTTTGTGCATAGTCTCAGAAATGGGGTGTACGTAATCTGAAAGTCCTGTGGTTCTTCATTTCTCGCGGCATCGTGAAAGTTGACTCATTGCATCAGTACCACTACCATTACCACCATCACCATCACCACCGGTGTCGTCGGTGGCGAACGGTTTAATTAATCGCTCACTGTATTTGAAGTTTAAGGTAGTAATATTGAGTTTAATATCACGTGCACGAAGTACGAAATCAATTTCGCTTAGTTAAATCCCTCCGCCAGGGAATGCCAGGTGTCTTATGAACAGGCTCCAATTATATGCCAAACGGCAGAACTACCTTAACGCAAAGTGTAATTAAGTTACTCAAGTAAATATCTCAACTGTTTAAGGATGCACAGTCCCAGCAAAAAGTCACTGGAAATCATAAATACGCTAATATTTATATTTTTTGTATAAAAACATGAATGGTGTGTATACATACACGCATAATATACGAAGACTATTCGAAAATCGA